CGACTGTTCATTAATACCAGCTGTTCCTATGGGCCTCCCCGCAACTAAGCCTTGCTGCACTCTGCAAAAATCTATCAATATCCCAGCAACACAAAAACACACTGCCTATTCCAGAGCCCGGCTTAAAGACTGACCAGCACTCCACAGGGCGTGTTTACAAAAATAACCACCTCTGAGATGCCTGATGCTAGTGTGCATGTGGAGTGTGCATATGTTATCGACGGTCTGGATGCTTCTGGTGAGATAGTTAAATTGGGGGTGACTATAAAATAGGTTAGAATAACGTGGATGACTTAACACAGCCTCTCAAAGAGCAGCTCATGCCAGCCCACATAGTGCTGTGCTCAGTGTGGGTAAAGGGTTCATTTTCTCAAAATTAACCTTGTCAAACTCCTGTTCTGCCTGGGGGAGATTTGTATTACTATTGCAATTTTTCAATCAGAGATTGGGGAGAGTGTGAAATTTTAACATGCTTGTTCACTCTCCCAACCCCCCACCTCCCTTTCTTTCTCACTCTCTCATTTCTTGCTGTATTTTTTTCATTCTCATAGGCCATTTAGAGTTTTAAGAAGATTTCACCCATTCTTATAATAGGATTCTCCACTTCCTAAGTATGCTGTGCTGTGTTTGTAAATGTATACAGTAAGCGTGTTCCCTATATCAACTCAAGCTCAGCACACTCCACACTCTGCTGCTCCAGTGGAAGAGTTCTGGCGGGTCAAAATTAATTACAGAAGCTGTTAAGCACACACCAGCTGTTGTAAACAAATGAAAATACATTTTCATTTCAAACAAGCCCCCTTGTATCACTGCACACAAAATACTGTAAATCTTCTGTGTGTTTACTAACAACTTGTGCCACTATCAAGCTGTGCTGATGCTCCTACACAGAGAAATTGCTCTTATTCATGTACACCCAACTGCTGAAAACCATGCTCGCCACTGTTGTAAGGGTTTTCCCCAGTTTATTTGTGGATTTGCTTCTTTGCCATCCCTCTTTCAATCTTTACTTCATCACACTTCAATAACTCCATTGCTTTTTGGCCGGACCTTTCTTTTTCAGTCCATTTTGCTCTTGGGCACTTTCTTTTACTGAATCTGTTCAGACGGATTCCTTTATTTTTTTAAGTTAGGGGAACAGCAGGACCATGACACTCTGATTAAAGGAAATGAAAATCAAAGCCTGTATCAACTGCTCTAATATTGAATTTGATCCTTCCAGTATTAGGGCTGCAACTAGCACTTACTTTCATTATCGACTGATCTGCTTCTTTTGTGACTGTCTATAAATTGCCAACATACAGTGAAAAATGTCCATCACCATTCAAGGTGACATCTTCAAATGTCTAGTTTTTTCTGGCCAGCTGTTCAAAATTCAAAGATATTCAGTTGACCATTATGTATGACCAAAAAAAAAAAAAAGCGCACATACACATTTGCATCCACATGTTGCCCCTTTTTGCCAATCTGCATTAACAGTTAATCAGCTGTTCATTGGCTAATGTCCAATCTCTACACTAAGTCTGGGGCAAGTCTGTGAATCCATTTGGAAGTTACTGGGCTCTGAGTGGATGGTGGCCAAACAAAGGGCAGGACTGTGGCACCAAAGCCCCGGGTTCACATCCAGACTCCTGTCTGTGGTTAGATGTAGGCAACAAAAGTATTTTGGTTAAGGTGAGGGAAAGATTGGGATTTCTATTATTTATCAATAAAGAAAATGATACAAAATATTCTGTAGTCGATACGAGGGGACAGTGTATTGTAAGATTGCCAAATCTGGTGGTTAAAAAATAAAATATGTTGTCAGTGAACATTTTGCAGATATTTTTAGTATCAGTGTTTCTGTTATATGCCAGGTACATTAATTAGCAACATTTACTCATTATGTTAACAGAAAACGTAATTCACTCTCTTCAAACTTGCGGTTTCAACTGAGTTGTATATGAATGTAATTTATAGGAAACAGAGCTTAAATGTTCCACCTATATGCTGAAAAAAGACTTTATTTACTGTCATTTGACAAACTGAGTAATCAAATAATTATTGTAGCTCTGTCCAGAATCCATCTCCTTTGAATTTGGTATGTTCAATCAATGGCTATATAAAAAGATGGATGAAAAGCAGCTCCCTAAAAAGGGAAACCAAAACATCTTGTTCATTCCCTGATGGCCTGCTGCAGTGTAAGTCATAAGCCCCGCCCCATCCATGTTAGCAAATGGGACATGTGCCAAACTAAAAACTCACAAAGTACACATAGAATACATTTTTCCCAAACATGATTTCTGTCATTTTAGGTAGTTCTTATCACAATGATGTTTGTTCAAGTGTTCATTTTTCTGATTAGTTTGGTTTTAGTTTGTTATTTGGTGCTATAAAAGGGGTGTGTGACATCATGGTTGACAGCTGTGTGTGTCAAATGGTATGCTCGCAACCAATGGTACTGCTTGCGATTGGTTTCGGACAGGTGTATGGGTGGGAACTTGATACTGCAGCTCCACTTTCCAATTGCTACTGCACAGACTATGGTTCAAATTATGTCACCAGCGCAAGATGGCAGTGCCCGCATTGTGAATTTTTTGGCTTCATTTTTGGAAGGAAGGAAGTGGAGTTGCATTGTTCATCTTCATATACAGTCTATGAGTTGAATGAGTGCGTAGGTCCCAATTTTGTGCAAGTGTCCCCTATTCCAATGAGTGAATGAATGAAATTTATCAAAAATGTAGTAATAATAACATAATAACAAGTCTTAATTCAAATGCCACCAGCACAGAGCACACCCTCAGCTTGCAGACATTAACGTGACTTTATTCTTAATCTGGGTCACCATTAGCTTTCACAAATTGATTGCTTAATTTCTTGAGGCATTAAAGATCTCAACTTATCATCAATCCATGTTGCACTACGGTACTTTACAAATCTTTTTTCTAAGTGGAGCGTGCTCATCCACTAACTTTGGTAATTTCTCCATGACATTTTTCAAAGAAATGCATAATAATTTTCCATCCCTCTGGTGTGGCAGGACATTATCGACCTGCAGACAGAGGTCTGAGGGGGAGGAGAGGGGCTAATGAAGCTAACTGATTTCATCTTGTTCACCTTTTAGGTTTGAAAATGGGATCCTGAATGAATAGAGTAGAGGAAACCAAGAAACATTCTAACTCTAGACTTGGGCATTTCTTGTTAAAACAATGATATTATAATCACTCTGTTCCATTGCCTGTGAACACAGGACACTGTGTAGAAATGAATTAATATTCTGGTCACCAATAAGAAAGATATCCTTAATTTCATCTGTCATTAAATCTAGAGTTCTAGAGTTATTAATTTCCAAAACTTCACGTTAGAACAGGGTGGCTTTTACAACTAACTAAAGGCTTACAGTACGGAAGGTGAATCTGAAGCCATATCAGCTCAATGTCAGTACTCATAATATCTTTCTGCAGAACTTGAAATGCAGTTTTGCCATCATACTTGTAAACATCTGTTGTAATCTATATAATCTACAGTATATCCTTTGACAGCCAGCTCAGAATCATGAGGAATAGTAGTTTCCAGGTGTGCTCTTGACATTGCTAAAACATTTTCTGAAGAACATATTCTGATAATCTCATGACCCTTGTTGCTGAGGATCCCAATTCACTCCTGTCCTTTTGTTCTTTCTTGTCTGCAGTCCTATCAATTAAAACATTTATACACCTCCACTGATTTTCTGCGCAGTCTAGCATGGTAAACATCCTCTCCATTCCCTACTTTGAAATCACTGTAGTTTCCAAATGACTTTGTCTTTGTTTCAGTCTCCTTGTACCTCATCTCTTCAAACTTATCTCAGGTGAAAAAAACTGACATCAATGGTAATAAAACGATCATATCTATTTCAACCAAACCTGGAGAGAGGTCAAAGGGTAATAGCAGCCACAGACTATTTTACCACACTCTTACTTTACAGTCATATTTCATTCTCGCCATGTGTTTAATACCTTTCCACTCCCCCAGTGGTCCCTCTGACTGGTTATCTGTGCTGTTTTGAAAGAGGCCAACCAAACTGTTAGAAAGGCCACCCTCCCTCAGCCGTCCAGCAAGCCTGCCCTGCCAATCGGCCATCCTGTTTCCAGACAGCACAGTCATTTCCCAGCCCAGTGGAGCAGCACTCCCTGACCTCTGCCTCGACCTCCGCCTCAACAGCCCGAGCTCCAGCACCAGCTCCAGCCCAGAAAGCAGGCTCAGGCCACCTCTACTTATTTATGAGCCATTTCACACAGTGCTGCTCCCATTAGAGACCCAGCCTTGGCCCACCTTACATGGCACTCTCCTTGCACTTAACACATAGAGTACAGCAGCGGGGCCACAGGGACATGGGCGGTGGGTGGTGATGGTGGGCGGGTTGAGGAGACCATTAGACCTATCACATAGGTGGTGTCACACAACAGGCTCAAGATTACATCAAACAATCAGAGGAAGGCAAACATATCAATCTACTTTGTGGTTAGCGAACATTTCCTGCAGACAGTTGTGAGAAGACCAATCACTCCATCCAGCACAAACTCTTATTACCGTATTGCCTTTTGAAATATGTGATGAATAGCTATTTGATTATTCTTAGGGAAATGATCACCCACTGATGTAATCTAATGATGCACAAGAACTGATGGGTTATGCTTATTGAACCATAATTGGACATTTCATTATTTCTTATTCATTTCATCGGAGCTGAACTGTTACTCTTAGCAGGAAACAGAGAGGCTCGGAAAGACAAAGAAAAAAAAGCTGAGTCTCCACAGCATAAAATTTGACTGATGGATTGATTCACAAAAGCATACCAGACTTTAATAAGAAACTCTGCTTATGCATGACTGAAAACAAGATTAGTCTGAGCTGGTAACATTCAAACACCGCAGGAAGCAAGAGAATATTAGCTTGTTTGCTTTGCACCAGAATGGAGCTGACAACACTGACTGAAAGACAGAGAAGCTGTTTATGGAGAAAGAGAGATGAAGACCCACCTGTGATCGTGACAAAGGCGTAGCCCTCCTCGCCCAGTAGTGGGTTGATCAGTCCGCAGCTGTAGGTGCTATTGGGCTCCAGGACAACTGTCAGCACGCTGGTGATAGTGAACAGCCCTTCCTCGTTGGCCACCAATGAAGTGGTGATATTGTCCGTCAGGTTGCGACCGCCGCCATCCTGCCATATCACACCAGCTTCGGGATAACCGCCATAGGCCACACAAGTCAGGGCCACCTCATCACCTGGTCGTAGGTTGGATTCAGACTCCAACGTCACTACAGGCTTGGAGTAGGGGGCTGAAAAGGAAAGAGTACACATAAACAGAAGGAGTTAAGGGTTAAGGGGAGGTGAATTGGTATTGTGTGGGTAAGGGTGGGTGAGGATGGAGAGGGGATAAGGGCGCAGCAGACACATACTGAATTTAGGTAGATTCTCTGCAGTGAGAGTCACCCTGGGAACTGTTTGACATGATTCCCATTACATTCTTAATTATATTTAGGGAGCTTAGCATAACACAGTGCTTAAGATCCCACAGACACAGGCAGCATCTGTGGCACATCCTGATGCTGCATCCCTGCACTCTAACGCAGCTCTCTCTAGAGACCCAAAGCACTGAGCCACTCCCAGAATGGGAATGCAAGCCGGAGGCAGGGGTGGGCAGGGCAAGGAGAAAACTGGCAGGTTCAGAAATTTGGGACGACTCAGCCTATAGCATGGAAAAGAGCAGAGTGGGGTAGAGGTGAGGGGTGAATCGTCCGCTTTGGCTGAAATCACGCTTCTTCAATCCCTTGTGCTAAAACATGAGTATAGAGGTGGCGGAGAAATAGGCTGCTGTATTCCCAGAACCAATCATCGCACAGCAAACAATGGGGTGGAGCTGAGGGCGAGATGAAATAAGTTTGCCTGAGCTGCTTTTTGAAAAGTGGACTCTCAACACAAAGACAGATTTAGCGTGGTACACACTAACTTCCCCAGCTGTCCATTTGAGTGACAGGCAGATTTCCATCGAGGGCTCCTTTCATTTTCTTCCGGCGCGGCATGAAGGAAGTCGGCAATGTTAACTGTAAATGTTGGCTAAAAATAGAGCATCTATAAATCTAATGCATAAAATGGAACCAATTTGTCACTGTTGGAGACATTGTTTTCCCTTCTCCCCAGCCAGGAGAGAAAAAAATGTTATTCATTAACACCACCTAATGCACATCCATCCTTAGAGAATACAGGAACAATCTCACAACAGATATAGAAATGGGAGAAGGAAGGAAAGGCACACAGTATCATTATAAATAAATAAAAGGCTCTGAGCTGTGAAGGCGGGTGATGTAGTCACACAGCAGAGAAGATGTTGGTGATGGCTGATTGACCGTAACAACAGCTAATAATCAAAGTCAGCAGATATTGACCATGACAGACTGCAATCAGCGCTTATTGACCAAAAACACTGCTGAGCAGCCCTGAGGAAACTGTTTATCACCTGCTTACGCCTGGTGAGAGGAAATTATCATAAATCACCTTCTTCATAGGTAACTGTATAACACGTTTCATTGCATACTATTAGTAGCTGTGCATAAATAAGTGCTGAGGTCAAAACACTGTTGATATAATCATTACAAAGTGTAAAGTGAAGCTACGACACAAACATTAGCCAATGGAACAGCACTTATTAATTATGTAGTGGTTGTATTGAACATTTTCATTAAAACAACATTTATTTTTTGGTTTGTTTAGTTCTTGGGACAATTATAATTATCTTGCACTTAAAGACAATAAATCTGTGTGTGTGTGCATGCATGTGTGTGTGTGAGTGTGTGTGTGTGTAAAGACAATAGGCTCCGAAGGAGTTTTGAAAACACTGATGATGATGACAGTCTGCCTTACAAAGGGGGGGTGTGGCGTTTTAAAAATAGGCAGGAGAAGTCCAACAAAAGATGCTATTAGGTTGCATCATGGGAAATGTAGGGCATTTTTCTGGCGTTACCCCTACCACAGACTAAACCTCAACATATCTGGATTTAAATGTTTATATGTCTCTGGTGAATACATCAACTTATGGAAGTGCTTAAGTAAATTGCTGAAGTACACCTTTGAAATAAAAGGGAATTAATCAAAAAATAATATACATTTAGAAGTGAGTCTCAAATTTGTGATGTCATCAAGTATAAAGTCTGGAGCTGCTCCATGTGAACCCTCAGAATGTTTGTTTTCTTTTTATCACCAAAGTTAGTTTTATTGTATTGCAGTGATCTCAGTTCTGAAACAGAAAATGTACTCATATCTTCAAAACATTCTCCTGGGTGCTCTCAATGTCATCTGACTTTACACCCTATGACATTGGAAATGTGAGTTTTAGCATTCTAGTTTTTGGATTTGGGAGAGTTGTTCATATTTACAAAATTTTTGTACTGTCTCAAAGCATTAAAATAACATGTATGAATTTGTAAAATGGGTGTGGTTCCCCTTTAACGTTGCCTGTTTTGTTTCATTTTTGTTTTTTAAAATGATTTATTAATTATTCAACATAATTTAAGTGAATACTAATTATAAATGTTAAGCAATATAACTGATGTAATGTACTTTACAAAAGGGTGTCTATATTCTCTGTGAATGTGTGTATCTCCTTTCTGCATGCCATTGGTCATAAGTGTCCATGTGTATGTTCATCTGTTTTTACACGTGTCATGGACATCACAGCTTGACTCACCGGCCACCTGCAGCAGCAGAGCAGCGCTGCCGTAGTCCTGCACCCTGACAAAGCAGGTATAGCTGCCTTCATCAGCCACCACGACCCTGCTCAGCAGGAGCGAAGCGTTGCCCAGGCCCAGCTGGGTAGGGAACAGACTGGTGCGGTTGGCGAAGCGCTCAGCCTGGTCCACCAGCTTGTCGCGTCCCTCCCCATACCCGTGCACACTGCGTTGGGTGTCGGTCAGCTGCCAGAAGACGCTCAGATCAGACAAGTTGAAGGGGCTGGCGTGGGTGAAGGAGCAGTTGAGTGTGGCATCCATGCCATGCAGCGCCACCACTGGCTGCTCTGGGACGTGCACTTCCATCACAGCTATAAGAGAGGAGGTGGGACATATTAGGGATGTCAATTCTAAAAAAAAAAATCCCTGAATTGTATAAAACAATTGTTGTGTTTTTATCTTCCTAGAGAGCGGTGCATTTTGCTGTATGTTAGAAAATGTCAGGTAAGCTGTCGCAGAAATATATAAATACACTTCCAAAATCTTTCTTGCAATCATGTTGAATTTGCAGTCTTCACTGTGTCAATCTCACTACACCACCTAGGTAGTCTAAAATACGCAATAAACAGTATTAAGTACTATTTGGCCCGGGTCTAGTGTAAACATACAGTATTCACTGAATCACAGCATTAATTCAGGGTGCTGTGTTCAAATGTGACAGACTGACACCTACTCAAATTTGAATGTCTTTGAAAAAAAATCAATGCAGTATTTTGAAATATATGCTGTGACTGTTTCAGAAAACATCCACTTTGTTTGTGCAGCATGGTAGCACGGAGCGGGTGAGACGGGATGAAGGAGAGAAGGAAAGAAGAGGAGGGATCTGGAGGTAAGCATTAGGACTTTGTTTGTGTTCCTATAGGCTTTGCCTCCTGGCGATGGCTCAGTGCGCTGAAACTCAGCGATGGAAGCAACAACATCTGTATAGCTTTAGTTAAATCGTTAGTTAAATCTAAAAAAAAAAAAAAATCTGTTGGGGGGGTATAACTGCAGCAAAACTCTTGAGTGTGTGCTTTTGTGGGAATGAAAAGTGACTCCGCTTCTCACCAAACACTTCTACTCAAAGGCAACTGATTTTTCCGTGTAACTGTGCATACACATATGTGTGTGCGCTTGTGTGTTGTTTGTCTAGACTAGGCCAAGAGCAAAGAGTACACTGTATAATCATTCTGGATTAGTAGCCATCTCAGGCAGTCCAGAGTACATCCATAGTATTCTCAAGAGTCAGCATTCTCCATTGATCCCTGTCTGCTCTTATACAACTCTGAGACACTCATCAGCATCACAAGGGAGAAAAAAAAAAGCCAGTCGGCCCCTGGTGCAATACACTCTTCTTTATGCTCAGCCTCTCTAATTGTTATAATCACAGCAGCATTTTAGCCTCCTCACCCCTTTTTGAGCTCTGTCTATCACACAGCCAACGTCAATGTTGAATCATTTTGCTATGAAGATTTGACTGCTGCGGAGGTGCAATAATTACTTCCCCTATTAACAAGAAACAAGTCTTTCATCTGAGAGGGTTCATATATGGATGGGTATTGCTAAGTCAAGGCAGACCTATTTTCAATCACATTCAGCCATTCCCAGATAGGTAGCCTCTCCACATCACACCCCAAACAACCTGCTCGTCTGCAGGAACAGTGCCACCTACTGCCTAACCTCACGAGTGCAGAGAAGTGGGACAGAAAAATGCACAGATTTCTCTCCAAATACCCCAGGCTCCTTCTAAACCTGTGTCAGGGCTTGAATTGCTCATGAAAAGCCTTACAGAGTGAGATTTTAAATCTAAATAATAATTATGATATGTAAAATGAAGGCCATGGACACTTTTTATGACACCTTTTTTTCCTTTTCAAATATTACATCAGGTAAAAAATGGAAACAGGAAACACAGCAGAAACTGGAGTACAAAACTGGCTTTTGCTATCATAGTCCGCCATACCTGTGTCCTGGGTATTTTGAATGAAAATGTTGCACCGCAATTTTGACCTGGAGCAAATCAATGCCTCCATACACCGATGAATTGCCAGTCACACAACAATTCTCTGACCCCCATGGTGACAACAGCAGAGGGTTTTTTCCTTTACTGTGATTACAAAGGCTCTTCTGGTGCTGTGGGGGTTTCCCATCGCCCGTATTGTGCCCACATTCACTCGGCAGGGCTACAGCACGGCAAACAATACAGAATTGTTATCAGGGCAAAGCATGGCAGGAGCAGGCGGTATTGTGCCGCCATCAATAGGGATAACCGAGCAAATTTCTGGAGTGTGTATTTATGCTGTCTTTGGAGGTGGCCCAACCTTTGCGGTAATGAATAGGTCGCTGGTATTTTTTGTAGGAGTGGAGGGTCAGTGACAGCCCTCTCCGAGACGTGCATGTTGAAGGAGGAGGAGAGAGAGCAATTAAATCACTCCCCGAGCAGCCTGGGATGACTCACACCACTGAGTTCATACAGGAAGGGGGAAGGGGAAGTGGGAAACGTAGAGAAAGAGAGGCCGGCATCGAGTTCATACTTAAAGATAATATCTGGAAACAAGCCAAGGAAGAGGCTGTGGTGGAGTCTCACACACTAATCCCTCAACGCGGACCAAAGCCATGTCAGCGAGGAGAGAGAGATAGAAAGTCCCCTTTCTTCCACATCTCTGCCTCCTCCTCTTTCACTCACTGCTTCTTTAACTGGTGACCTACCACTTGCTCCAAGGCCCTGGGAGGACGCAGCTCTACACAGGGACCTTGTGTAGAGACACAGACCCTCGCTTGGAAAGAGAATTCAAGGGGAGCGTTTTGCATTGCATCAAGGGGAGGGGATTGGACAGGAGAGGAGGGCAAGCTAGGCCGGCTGACGTCATGGAAAGCGCACATCTGATGTCCTATTCGTCAGAGGTGAAATACCACGAGCCAAAGTGAATCACTGTGCACTTGGCTGTTTTTGATCTGCTGCTGTTTACACCAAACAGCATGCTCTGTATGGCAGCTGACTGTTTGATCGTCTCTCCTGAGGTCTGCTCTCGACATGAAAAAACATGCATTCTCTAAAAAGACAAGTGTATGTAGCAGAGGTTAAAGATTACAACACAAGTGGTCTTTGGTGAAGGGGCCAGGCTGCACTTTGTAGCCAGGCCCACGGTGTCGTCTCAGGGGTAAGTGGGGATCTCGCCTCTCCCTTCTCCCTCTCGATAAAGAGATGCTCAGAAGCCATAGAGGGCAGGCTGGGAGACGTCAGGCTGTGGGGATTTACACACTGCACTTTGTGTTTATGGGCCTCAGCTCTGTTTGAGTGCCTGCGAGACAGAGACGGGCACTTTCACAGCCGACATGAAATAAACTCATTACAGCCTTCGCGAGCGCTGGCAACGGGCCCCGCTTAACAGCGAGGCACAGGGCTGGCTAGAAAAGGCTGCAAGTGATCTTCACACTGCTCTCCACTCTACTTTCAAGACGACCCACCACCTTGTCACTATCAACACCTCCTTCCATCATGCTTTCCTCAGGTGTGCGAGGCATGGTGCTGCTGGATTTGCCTCAACCATGATATTTGTATAGTGAACTGATGCTAGCTAGGCACATGAGGTGAGCATGGTGGCTGAGTGTGAGACAGCGTGGGATGCAAGCAGACAGCAAATAGGAGGATCATAGCTTTTATAAGGAGGATGCTTGCAGGGTGACGTGCAGGGCTGTTGGTAAATAAAATCCACTGATGTCTTGCATCATTCTGGCAGATACAGACAGGCGAGTCCACACCCAATTAAAAACACATTTTGTGCACAAAATCAGATGACTGGACTGAGACTTTCTGTATGCATGTCTTATATGTCTTGTTTTACATGTTTTGCTGTTTGTGAACCCCAGGAAGAGTGGCTGCTGCCTTAGATGCAGCTAATGGGGATCCAAATAAAGAATTAAGGCTATTAGCCTTCACTAGTTGATCTAGTTAAGTAGATAGGCATAAATGTGACTGATTTGATATGTACACCTTAGATAAAACTAATCACATCTGTGACCAGGGATGCACCGCTATGTCGACACATCAGTATCGGCTGATATTGGCCTTGTTGACTGCCACCGAACTATCGGCAAATAGGATGGCATTCACCGATGGCAGAGGCCAATGTTGTACCGTTGTGTAACATCCATTTTGTGCAGGCTAAAAGCAGGGCTCGAAACTAGGCATCCTGTTGTCCAGGGGACAACATGTGTTTGGGAAGGACAGAGATCTTCTGCGGGATGCAGTTGGGACAAAGCATACACCAACGAATTGCCAGTCACACAACAATTCTGTGTTAAAATAGGCTGGAGGAGAGCGAGCTAACGTTAGCTGTTAGCAGTCGGTGGCTAGAACTAACTGCTGACGGAGGTTGCATTGGGTTACATTATGATGTTCAAGTGTTCAAGGTCTATTCAGTGAAAATGAATATTGGGTGAAGGTAAATTATAACATCCTTGTGATGTGTTCAGATGTGATCTTGTAAAATGTGCTTTTTGGTAAACAAATTAAGTTGTCTAAAGGAGAAATGTGTATGTTTTCACAGCAATATAAAATGTGTATTAGAAAGGGAATTATGATTTATTACATATATTAAAAAGACCTCTGTAGCAGTTGCTTCTGAAATGTTTTTCATGTGGGAGGTTATATATCAAAGGTTGTTTCATAAATTTATAATTGAATTTGTGCTCATTCAAAAATAGTGTAATGAAGGACTGAATGACTTTTAAACAGTTAAATACATGTTTTTAATAATAAGGAATTCTCTGTTTTCCTATCACAATAGTATGGTGGCTGAGAAGGATCAAAGCAAATGCAGAAGCCACAACACAAGTAGGCTACAAAAGTCACAACATGCACACAAGAATCACAATACAAATACAAAACTCAACACAACAGAAGAGGGCGACACCGGAAGTGAGCAAGCGACAGATTGAACGCTTTAATGGGGTTTTGCAGGTGGTAGAAGTGTTTGCCTTTTTAAGTAAATGAAACATTGTTCGCTAGCTAACAATAATTGATATGTTCTTGTTACAAATAGACTGAGTTGTTCGTATTTATGTACTCTGTTTCCTACTGTCAGGCTGTCACAAAGCTTGCATTCCAGTAGCATCATGTAATGTAACATGAGCTAACGTTAGTCAGTCAGGTGGCCACCAGCAGCCATGGCTGGAGCCATGTCAATCTCATTTGAACAAATGATATCAAAAGCCATGGTGCACTGTAAAGTTAGCAATGTTAGCGTAAACCGAACAGCTATGTTCACTGCATGGAGTAAGGTAGGCTACATTTCAAAGAAGTCATAGACTCTTCAACAAGCACAGTTAA